TACTGCGCAAAAGGATTGCAGCCAATATTTATAACAAGCAGGTAAGAAGGAATTTTCTAGCTGTTGGAACAGGTGGCTGACAAAATGAGAAAAGTTGGTGTCTGTATATTAGAGACTTCTTAAAGCCACCATTTATCAGTTACAACTTACTACATGAGGATAAAACATTACTGCAAAATGGGAGGAAAATGTTAGTGATTGAATTTAGTGGCATTGTTTGCTGAGCACAGGGCTGTAAAGAGTACTTAAGGAATCAAATCTTCAATACTAAAAAGGAACTTACGTTCCTGAAAAACATGCTTTTGTGGAAAAATAATGTTTTGCATTGCAACCTTTTATCATAAATAATCATTGTCAACACAATAATTGCAAATTACTTTGTTTCTAGAGTTTTACCCAGAGCCTGAAAAGGAGAATATCCTTGAAAAATATACATTATGCCTGCGGAGTGACCTATGAAATAGTATCCAATATACCAAAGGTAAATTATCATAGAATCATAGAGTGGTTGGGGTTGGAAGGGACCTTAAAGATCACCTTGTTCCAGCCCCCCTGCCATGGGCAGGGACACCTCCCACCAGACCAGGTTGCTCAAAGCCCCATCCAACCTGGCCTTGAACACCTCCAGGGATGGGACATCCACAGCTTTTCTGGGCAACCTGTTCCAGTGTCTCACCACCTGCACAATACAGAATTTCTTCCTAATATGTACTCTACATCTCCCCTCTTTCAGTTTAAAACCATTACTCCTCATCCTATCGCTACACTCCCTGATAGAGTCCCTCCCCAGATGGTGTACTCCAGGTGGAGTCTCACCAGAGCAGAGTAGAGGAGCAGAATCACCTCCCTCGACCTGCTGGCCACACTGCTTTTGATGTTGCCCAGGATGCAGTAGGCTTTCTGGGCTGTGAGCTCATGTTGCTGATTCATGTTGAGCTTCTCATCCACCAACATCCCCAAGTCCTTCTCCTCAGGGCTGCTCTCAATTCATTCTCTGCCCAAGTTGTATTTGTGCTTGACATTGCCCCGACCCGCATACAGAACCCTGCACTTGGCCTTGTTGCACTTCATGAGGTTCCATTTCACTCTGGTAAATTCACTGAAAAGAACAGAATGACCTACTGCGGTGGGTGATACTGATTGGGAAGTAAATGGTCCTGCTTTGCTAAGAGGAGGCAGCTTGCCAAAGTGTATATCCTGAAGTTCAGTGGTGAGATCATGTTTGTCTTTAAACAGTTGAAAATGTAGGGACTCAATTTTCTCTTCTACTGCGTTTAACTGAGTTTTTGTAGTAGAGTTATTTCTGAAATCATACTAGTGTCTACAGAGAGACTCTAGAGGGTCAGTGATGTTCAGGTCAGTGAAAACAGGACAGTTATTTCTGAAATCATACTAGTGTCTACAGAGAGACTCTAGAGGGTACTTAGAGAGATGTTCAGGTCAGTGAAAACAGGATGAAATAGTGAAAGCAGGAATATTAATTGCTTTTTATAGAAAAAGCTTGTACAAATAGTAAATCTACTATAAAATTTATTTTAAAGGTAAACAAACTACTGGTCAAATGAAAATGTGAATATTCTTGTCACTGTGTAATTGTCACTTTTGTGCAGTAGTACTAAAAATTTAATCTCTAGGGAAATCACAAAATATCTAAGATTTGGGAAGGAAGTTATATTTGCTTGCCTAGGAAGTTGCCATTAGTTAATCCTTGACATATGTGATTTCAGGTTACATATGCTTTATTTCTAGAAGTATATTGACTACAGAAAATGTGCAAGACTTCTCCCAAGCATGACCTCCTCTTAGTTTGGCATCATTTACGTCTGTGTTGAAAAGTCCTAGATCGTTGATTATAATTAGGATTACTGACTAAGTTGAGGATTAACAAGACTAATTAATTTCTGGATTGAGATGGTCTACATAAGTGAATGAATACTTAATAACAATAGGCTTTAATTTTTAAAAACTTCAATAGTGTAACTTGTAATTTAGGCTACGGAAGAAATTGAGGATCGTGAGACCCTCGCGCTGATGGCAGCAAGGAGTGAGAATGAGGGCACATCGGATGGCGAAACCTACATTGAAAAATACACACGTGGTGTGCTGCAAGTGGAGAACATTTTGAGCCTTGAACGACTAAGACAGGCAAGGAAAAGGCACTTCTTGCACCTTTTTGAACTGGTTTATGAGAATTCAAGTAGAGTTGATTGATCTTTTAAAAATACTAAGCGTTGGTTGGTTTTTTTAGAGGGTTTTTTTAGTGGACATTGGATGGATAAATGTAAGGCTAAGTTTCTTCTGTGAAATACATGATTCCTGTAGTGGTGGGTCTAGTGACTATAGCTGGCAAGGGTGTAGTACGCAGAACCTGAACAGGCAAAGGCCAAAGAATGCTTTTCAGATACAAATTTTGGTGGTTGTGTGTGCAAATTAAGATTTGTAAATGCAAGCCCTGCTTGAAAAAAGTCTGTCCTGCTTGGTCATGTCTCATGAGGAGACCATGGCATTGTTTTTAATGTGTTCTTTTCTTTACACAGGCAGTCACCGTCAAAGAGGCGCTCTCCACCAAAGCGAGGAACATCCGCAGGAGCATCAGCACTCCCAATGTCCACAATGTAAGGACCCTTTATCCTCTGGTAACTTTGTACTAATGGGGCAGAGGAGTGCTCTTTGTGTGCTGATGTGACACGGTAAATAATTATTCTGGGCTAGGACTAACCAACCTGTAGGAAAGTTGTCATGAATGAAAGTCAGTCACTCGGAGCCCCTCCCCACCACTGTCCGTACTAAGAGATAACAAAGTTGACAGGAAAGTGGGAGGGTTGGTCTAAACTCTTTTCCTTTTTGGAAGTTCTGGAAGTAGTTCAGGATGACAACTACCCTGATTCAGATTACTTTGACTTCAGTGTCCCTTTACCTTTTTTTTCATAGTGTTAAGGGATAGTTTCTGTTTTCTGTGCATTTTGTATGTTCTCCCCTCACCCACTCATACAGCACAAACATAGCTGTCCTTATAAATAATATTAGGTGAAAAGAGATAGTACTAACAACTTTTCTGCTAAATGATCACAGTGTTTCCTGAAGGCATTATATTTTATAAATAAAAGCTGGGCATTTTGTCATTTTGCCTGTTGGTGTTCTGTAGGTATCCTGTAGCCGACTAGATCTTTCTGCCTGTGATGAAGATGATAAGGTATGTAAACCTGACACCAAACGCTGCACATTCTTAGATTATTCTTTCCCCCACTTTGCAACAAGATGTATTTGAGACTAAAAAAACAGGAAAACAGTGTTTTTAACAATGTGTTTACATAATGTATCTTCAAAATGCTGCACTACTTACATGTTTTGAATTAAACCTTCTTGTCCTTCTGTGCTCTTCCTATTGGAATTGTAGAAACTTGTATTTAAGAAGGGGGAAGTTATGGCAAAACTGAATATACTTCACTGAAAAACTAATTAGCTTCTAAACGATCCATTTGTGTGAGACAAAATTGCCTAAAGTCAGTAACTTGACATTCTTTGTTTTTTTTTAAAAAAAACCTACCTTTGAGTTTACCTGTTAATTTTTCCAGGTTTGCCTGTATCAGCATGCGTATTTATGTATTTTTGTTTCTTAGGGTTGGTCTGAAAGTCACCTAGATATATCTGACTGTTCTTCCAGTTATCAAGATGTATCATGCTACGGTACTTTACCCAGGGAGTCACCTCGCAAGAGCAAAGATGGCAGTGGTGAGACTTTAAAGTATATACGTAATGACAGGGTCTATGGGTTTTTAATTGCTGCATTAGACTAAAAATGAAATTTGCAGTGCTCTTTTCCTGCTAAATGCATTATCCAGCTTCTTGCTTTAGCAGCTAAGCGTAATCTGGAAGCAGAGGGGAAAGGGAGAAATGCATGAAGACATCCAGGAAAGGATGGGGTGTACAAAGAACTAACAGGAGGGCAGAAGAACAAGCTAAATGTGAATCAAAACAGTAGAAGGAAAAAAATATATCAAAAAACCAAACAAACTGACAAAAAGGACCTGCTGTTATGAATTTGAAAATGAAAATGCTTTTGTTAAAGTGGGAAGGATCCTTTTACAGGTTCTTTACATGATTTGGATATTTGCTCTGCTGTGTGTGTCACGGGTGCCTTATTTTCTTCAGGTCAAATTGTAACACACTGTTCTTGCTGAGGCAGTACAGGTAGAGATACCGCTGCAATTAAGTGGGACTGAGAGTTCATGCATTGCTTCCTTGGCCCTAATCTCCTCTTTGATCACCCTGGTGGTGCAGGATTGCTGGTTTGGCTCCAGGGCAGAGCTGCAGTGCTGTGGGCAGGGGTCAGGGGAGGCACAGGAAGCAGAGAGCTCTCAGTTCCCGTTTCAAGGACACTTCCCACTGTTTTTAGGACTGAGAAAAGGAGAAGTATTTGAGCCACAGAATGGAGGGGTTAGATATTGCTATTCTCTGCTTTTCCTCTGTTTCCAGGCTCCTCAGAGGGGAATAAGATCAGAATCAGAAATAGCCATCACTGAACATGAAAGGGCTATTCCATTTAGGAGAAAAAGTTCTGAAGATGTATAAATGGCTTCAAACTGATACTGGACAAATTCATATTGGAAATAAACCATGCTTTTACCAGCAATGGCAAAGAACAAGTGGAATGGGCCTCCCAAAGAAGCGAGGTGCCTTTTGTCAGAAGGGTTGCATTCAGAACCACAAGTAATTATAGCCTTGAATACAGATGAAACTGTAAAACATGAAGATGGGTGACAGTGCTTTTCTGGCACTCTGCTCTACAATAATTTTTTGAAGTAAATATATTCATTAATACTCAAATCATGGATGAGATGCTGCAGTCTGTAATGAAAAAAAAAAATCTGTTTCTACCTGTTGAGACTTTGGTTATTTGAATGTTGTAATCTTAACATTTTATGAGTTTGTGGCAGAAATGTTTGTGTTTGTGTTTTGGGGTATTTCTGTGAGTTTCTATTGAGAGAAATGCATGTTCTTTTGTGTTTTACAAAATTTATTTTCTCCTACCAGAAGGAGGAGGATGATGGTGGTGATATGGATAGTTACCAGGTATTGCTGCTCTTGCTGTCAATCCTGTGGCATGGGGCACAGCTAATGCTAATGGCCAACAACTTTCAAATGAACAAGCGTACTGCAGCAAGCAAAAGCGGCTTTGAAACATGTATATGCTGTGCATTTAAGAGGCTACCTGGGCTATAAAACATTGCTATTACAGTTTACCTTGTGACTTTATACTCTTGCAGTTTGCTCTCTTCTCTAGTACTCAGCAGTCAGCTCTCCTAACTGGCTACAGGAATTGCTATGTGAATCAAAGCCTAGAGACTTTAATTTAGAGTGAAAACAGTTTCCAGTGAATATCATAGCGAAAAGAATAACCACCTGCAGTTGCAGGCATCTTTCCAAACCAAATTATACAGCATAGGGGTTTTTGTGTGTTTTCTAAAGAAAACATCGTAACCTTTTAAATTGTGCAGTGTTCTGAAATGCTCGTGAGAGAGAGGGGAGGATGCGAGTGTGAGGGATACAGAAGCTTCAGTGAAGCATTATTTTTTTTATCTCCACAGAAACAAACCTTGAGCCTGGCTTTTTGTGTGATAACTAAATATAAGGCAGTCAGAGTTTCGAAAGCATAACACAAGAATTCTTTACAAGGCGACAAAGGGCAAAAAAGGGAATGTCTTAAAAAGTAAAACATGTTACAGATCTCTACATGGAAGTCTTATTTCTAGTAGGCAGCTTTACAGGTGCAAAACCAGTTAGGTGAGAATGCTGACATCCCTTAAGATAACGTTTCAGGTTTTACAGCAATCTCAAAGATACCAGTTAGGTACTAACTTCTTGCGGGCTGTTTATGCGCTTCCTGACTCATCACAGAGAAGAACGAGCCAGATTTTCTGTGATCCCACAAAGCATGATTGCATGACGGGTTTTGTTTGCATGAGAAATCTTTTAATTGCACTGATAACAGCTGCTAGCAATGGAATTATGTGCAGGTTTGAGGGCATACTGACCTGCCTAATCTTCAGGAGAACTCATGATCAGCTGATGATACCTGTTTTTTCCTATTCCATATGCTCTTTAAAAAGTGTGATTGCCGCTTCTGTGAATAATTAGCCTTATGGTGTATCATTCAGTTCAGCAACTGAGGCGGTCACATTTTTCATTTCTTCCTGTTGGAATTTGAGACTTGAAAGCAAATAAGCTTCCATTCATGGGTGATGAGGTACTTAATCAGTCTGCATGTCAATGGGGGGAAAAAGTTCTCTGCATCATTCAAGCTGTTTAGTATAAATTCTGATGAAATGATCATAAAATTCACTGCCCTTTAATCTTAATCTCATGGTCTTATAACTTCCTTTTCTCTTTCCCTTTTAGGAAGAAGATTTAAATTGTGTACGAGAAAGGTGGTCTGAGGCATTGGGAAAACGCAGAGAATACTTGGATGAGCAGATTAAAAAGATCAGCAATAAGCAAGGTCTGAAGCTTTAAGTCTCTGTTGTAAGTACTTTATTCCCTGTGCCATGAAAAGTGTATCTCACGTATCGTATTAATCTCTCTCACTGTAGAAAAATCAGAGGACGATTTGGAACGAGAAGCCCGGCTGGTTGAGCAGTGGGTAGGGCTGACAGAAGAGAGGAACGCGGTGTTTGTTCCAGCACCAGGCAGTGGCATTCCCGGTGCCCCCGCAAATTGGTACGTTCAGACTGGAGTGGTTAGCTTTTTGTACATGAACATTGCACGCTACAAGGTAAAAATCTGAGAATGTTTTAGAGCTTTCCATGTTTTCCTGTAATGCTACCAGTTACACTTAGCTGGTGTGAAGGGAAGTTTGTTTATTTAATATATTACATAAAGTACCTTTGATATAGCTTTCCAGATTTGAAAATTGGGTCTGAATTTAATGTAGTACTAAGTACAAAGTACACTTTTTCAAAATTCTGATGCAGTCATCCTGTAGTTTGACTCCTTTCAGAAAAGGAGTGATTCAAAAATGAATGGTAGAACATGTGATAATTTCTGTGATAAGGGGTAGGGAGAAAAGAAATTCTGTTTTTTAAAGGAAGTGTTCTCTTCCCTCATTTAATTTCACTTAAATTTGTCTTTTAGCTATGATCATTGAAACAAACGTTCAAAAATGAGGAATGCAACGTAGTTAGATTTGGGGAAGTGTGGACAAGAAATATGGCTCTGATCAAGCGTACACTGCTATCTCTGATAACACCTAATATCTCTTCTTCATTGGGTGATTGATGTCGTGATGATCTTTCCTCCCTGTTTTTTTTCCCTTATCCACCTGAAATGTGCTGTGTTCATACAGAGCAAAGTGTATTTATTGATATAAAGACTATGCCTTGGTTTGAAAGGTTGCTAACCTTTATGTATGACGTGACCGCAACCAGTTAATTTTATAAGAAACAGAACAGGATGTTTAAAACTTGTCATCCCCACAGCAACTGAAATGTGCCGGGTGGTGTGAATGAAGGTTTGGTAAAGCATTACATTTAGCTGCATGTGTAGATAAACAAAACATTGTCTGTGCAGCATAGCTATTCAAATTAGCCGTCAAATTGTTGACAGGTTTAGTCATTGGTTGTAGTTCATGTGAATCTTGCATGGAGATCTGTTTGCCCAAATTAGCTTAAGTAACTATTTGCCTTCCTTGTTGACAGTCATTTGTTTTGTTTCAGGATTCCCCCTGCAGGAATGGAAACACATATACCTGTTCTCTTCCTTGATTTGAATGGTATGTTGTCATGGCAGATTAAGAAAGCTGGCAGGGGAGAAATTAGTTTGGATCAGTAAATGGATGAATGAATGAATCTGAAATGTCTTAAGAAATCAAAACAAGTCCTGGCAATGGCACTGGCTGATACAGCTTGTAAAATGATTTTTCTTCTGATTCCATTTGTTGGAATAATTACCTGTAGAGGCTTAAACAGCTATTTTAATGAAGAGTGTATTAGGACCACAATGAGTGTTTTGTTAGAGAATCTAAATCTTCTCCCTTTTTGAAGGTATTTAGTTTTACATCTGGGGAGAATATTGATGTATATCCTTAAGAGAGATACACTGTAAGCAACAAGAGATTAGAGTTACCACCACGTTCAAGGACTGTTTAGGAAACAAGTCTGTAAGCATGAACTTGGATATGAAGCAGAGGAGGACCCACAGGCGTTGTCACATCCAGCACTGAGTGTGCTACTAGAGACGTTTATAGAAGCAACGTGTTAATATCTGCTTTAGAAGCTGCTTTTGGAAAATTATACACTCTCTTTCCTTTATGATCACAAGAAATGTTTTTCGTTTTTTTCATTATCAGCAGAGATTAGCAGACAGAGGATCAAACAGGATATTTAAACAGCTTGATGGATCATTGCACAACTTTTTTTTTGTTTAGCTAAAAGCCTAATGTAGGCAGAACTGCTTTTCTCAGTTTAAACATGCCCCGATCCATTAAAAGTGATTTAACTAAGAGATAAGCTGCTTAGGCTGACAGGTGGATAAATCAGAAATTTTCTTTCTGTGTAAGTTAATGTTATGAATAACTAGAAGTAGTTTTTAATTCCATTTAGGTTACGTGAGAATGCATTCAGGCTGAGTCTTAGCCTAGTTTTACTTCCCTCCTTTTATATGCTGGAATTGTCTTCAAAATATTGCATAGTAATAAGATTAATTAGGATTAAATGTATTATGAAATATGGGTAGGACTTTATTACAGCTTTGTATTACAATTTGCCTCTATATATTAATAATCCTTTGGTATAAAACTATTTCATTCTTTGCACATTTGTTTCATTAGCTGATGACCTCAGTGCCAATGAACAACTTATAGGTCCCCATGCATCAGGAGTTAACTCAATACTACCAAAGGAGCATGGGAGTCCATTCTTTTATCTGCCGATCATAAAACACAGTGATGATGAGGTAAATTGTTAGCAAGCCTCCTTCTTGACAACTGCAGCTTATGGTAACACTTTCTTGATGTGTTTCATTTTCTACTTGTATGTATTTAATGACTATTGTTCTTATATTTTTGTCTTAGAAGTACCATCTGTATCTAGTGCTGTCTTTATTTTCTGGCCTATTTATTTGAAATTTAAGAGGATAATGACTTGTTAGCCCTTCTGCCTTAAGTCAGAGGTGACAAGTGTTTGTTCTTCTTGGTAAAAGAGAAACTCAGCTGCTTGACTCAAAATCCCTTCTTCTTTCCTCACTTCTTCATCATTCCTCTTGCAGGCTCTTGGTTCTTCAGAGAAAACTACTTCATTTATTGTGCACGCTAGGCAAAGCATAGCATTTAAATAAAACTTTTTCCTTTGTAGTACACAATCAGTTTTTAAAATATAAAGTTTGGGAATTGTTGGAATTGAATGGTTCTGAACCTCTTTTGGAATTTGTGAACTTATTTATTCCATGTTCTGTGCCAACTCACGCCATTGCTTAAGAGACCATTTCCAGAATAAAGGGGATGCTGAAGTTGGAGGGGAGGCAGGGGGAAGGAAAAAGTTGTTCTGCAGGATGGGAGCTTGTTTGTTCTCTATAGGCCTTTATAACCTAATGCAATACAGATAGATGATTTGCCATTGAATTTGATAAACTTTTAGTGCAGTTGCAATAGGATTTGTATTCCTTCCTCCAGTCTTGCTTCTGCTTTCCTCTCTGCCTCCCTGGGAAGACTTCCTTCTGATGCAGCATTTGCACAATGCAGGGATTGTGCTTACAATTGTGTTCCCCAATATCTTAACACCTCTTTTATGCTGCTTCTGATAAACTCCTCTCTGTGAAATGGAGGTTTGACCCCATTTTGTTCAATGATGCTTGTTTTCCTTTCATTGAAGATTTGCTTTACTTCATGATAAATCACTGCAAATTATACCTTTTCTTAGAGTAATCGAGTCTTTGATTTCCCTTTCCTTCCTTGTCTGTGTAGGTTTCCGCCACTGCTGCTTGGGACTCTTCTGTCCATGACTCAGTGCACCTGAACAGGGTGACTCCTCAAAATGAGAGAATTTACTTGATAGTGAAGACTACTGTGCAGCTCAGCCATCCTGCTGCCATGGAACTGGTACTGCGCAAAAGGATTGCAGCCAATATTTATAACAAGCAGGTAAGAAGGAATTTTCTAGCTGTTGGAACAGGTGGCTGACAAAATGAGAAAAGTTGGTGTCTGTATATTAGAGACTTCTTAAAGCCACCATTTATCAGTTACAACTTACTACATGAGGATAAAACATTACTGCAAAATGGGAGGAAAATGTTAGTGATTGAATTTAGTGGCATTGTTTGCTGAGCACAGGGCTGTAAAGAGTACTTAAGGAATCAAATCTTCAATACTAAAAAGGAACTTACGTTCCTGAAAAACATGCTTTTGTGGAAAAATAATGTTTTGCATTGCAACCTTTTATCATAAATAATCATTGTCAACACAATAATTGCAAATTACTTTGTTTCTAGAGTTTTACCCAGAGCCTGAAAAGGAGAATATCCTTGAAAAATATACATTATGCCTGCGGAGTGACCTATGAAATAGTATCCAATATACCAAAGGTAAATTATCATAGAATCATAGAGTGGTTGGGGTTGGAAGGGACCTTAAAGATCACCTTGTTCCAGCCCCCCTGCCATGGGCAGGGACACCTCCCACCAGACCAGGTTGCTCAAAGCCCCATCCAACCTGGCCTTGAACACCTCCAGGGATGGGACATCCACAGCTTTTCTGGGCAGCCTGTTCCAGTGTCTCACCACCTGCACAATACAGAATTTCTTCCTAATATGTACTCTACATCTCCCCTCTTTCAGTTTAAAACCATTACTCCTCATCCTATCACTACACTCCCTGATAGAGTCCCTCCCCAGATGGTGTACTCCAGGTGGAGTCTCACCAGAGCAGAGTAGAGGAGCAGAATCACCTCCCTCGACCTGCTGGCCACACTGCTTTTGATGTTGCCCAGGATGCAGTAGGCTTTCTGGGCTGTGAGCTCATGTTGCTGATTCATGTTGAGCTTCTCATCCACCAACATCCCCAAGTCCTTCTCCTCAGGGCTGCTCTCAATTCATTCTCTGCCCAAGTTGTATTTGTGCTTGACATTGCCCCGACCCGCATACAGAACCCTGCACTTGGCCTTGTTGCACTTCATGAGGTTCCATTTCACTCTGGTAAATTCACTGAAAAGAACAGAATGACCTACTGCGGTGGGTGATACTGATTGGGAAGTAAATGGTCCTGCTTTGCTAAGAGGAGGCAGCTTGCCAAAGTGTATATCCTGAAGTTCAGTGGTGAGATCATGTTTGTCTTTAAACAGTTGAAAATGTAGGGACTCAATTTTCTCTTCTACTGCGTTTAACTGAGTTTTTGTAGTAGAGTTATTTCTGAAATCATACTAGTGTCTACAGAGAGACTCTAGAGGGTCAGTGATGTTCAGGTCAGTGAAAACAGGACGAAATAGTGAAAGCAGGAATATTAATTGCTTTTTATAGAAAAAGCTTGTACAAATAGTAAATCTACTATAAAATTTATTTTAAAGGTAAACAAACTACTGGTCAAATGAAAATGTGAATATTCTTGTCACTGTGTAATTGTCACTTTTGTGCAGTAGTACTAAAAATTTAATCTCTAGGGAAATCACAAAATATCTAAGATTTGGGAAGGAAGTTATATTTGCTTGCCTAGGAAGTTGCCATTAGTTAATCCTTGACATATGTGATTTCAGGTTACATATGCTTTATTTCTAGAAGTATATTGACTACAGAAAATGTGCAAGACTTCTCCCAAGCATGACCTCCTCTTAGTTTGGCATCATTTACGTCTGTGTTGAAAAGTCCTAGATCGTTGATTATAATTAGGATTACTGACTAAGTTGAGGATTAACAAGACTAATTAATTTCTGGATTGAGATGGTCTACATAAGTGAATGAATACTTAATAACAATAGGCTTTAATTTTTAAAAACTTCAATAGTGTAACTTGTAATTTAGGCTACGGAAGAAATTGAGGATCGTGAGACCCTCGCGCTGATGGCAGCAAGGAGTGAGAATGAGGGCACATCGGATGGCGAAACCTACATTGAAAAATACACACGTGGTGTGCTGCAAGTGGAGAACATTTTGAGCCTTGAACGACTAAGACAGGCAAGGAAAAGGCACTTCTTGCACCTTTTTGAACTGGTTTATGAGAATTCAAGTAGAGTTGATTGATCTTTTAAAAATACTAAGCGTTGGTTGGTTTTTTTAGAGGGTTTTTTTAGTGGACATTGGATGGATAAATGTAAGGCTAAGTTTCTTCTGTGAAATACATGATTCCTGTAGTGGTGGGTCTAGTGACTATAGCTGGCAAGGGTGTAGTACGCAGAACCTGAACAGGCAAAGGCCAAAGAATGCTTTTCAGATACAAATTTTGGTGGTTGTGTGTGCAAATTAAGATTTGTAAATGCAAGCCCTGCTTGAAAAAAGTCTGTCCTGCTTGGTCATGTCTCATGAGGAGACCATGGCATTGTTTTTAATGTGTTCTTTTCTTTACGCAGGCAGTCACCGTCAAAGAGGCGCTCTCCACCAAAGCGAGGAACATCCGCAGGAGCATCAGCACTCCCAATGTCCACAATGTAAGGACCCTTTATCCTCTGGTAACTTTGTACTAATGGGGCAGAGGAGTGCTCTTTGTGTGCTGATGTGACACGGTAAATAATTATTCTGGGCTAGGACTAACCAACCTGTAGGAAAGTTGTCATGAATGAAAGTCAGTCACTCGGAGCCCCTCCCCACCACTGTCCGTACTAAGAGATAACAAAGTTGACAGGAAAGTGGGAGGGTTGGTCTAAACTCTTTTCCTTTTTGGAAGTTTTGGAAGTAGTTCAGGATGACAACTACCCTGATTCAGATTACTTTGACTTCAGTGTCCCTTTACCTTTTTTTTCATAGTGTTAAGGGATAGTTTCTGTTTTCTGTGCATTTTGTATGTTCTCCCCTCACCCACTCATACAGCACAAACATAGCTGTCCTTATAAATAATATTAGGTGAAAAGAGATAGTACTAACAACTTTTCTGCTAAATGATCACAGTGTTTCCTGAAGGCATTATATTTTATAAATAAAAGCTGGGCATTTTGTCATTTTGCCTGTTGGTGTTCTGTAGGTATCCTGTAGCCGACTAGATCTTTCTGCCTGTGATGAAGATGATAAGGTATGTAAACCTGACACCAAACGGTGCACATTCTTAGATTATTCTTTCCCCCTCTTTGCAACAAGATGTATTTGAGACTAAAAAAACAGGAAAACAGTGTTTTTAACAATGTGTTTACATAATGTATCTTCAAAATGCTGCACTACTTACATGTTTTGAATTAAACCTTCTTGTCCTTCTGTGCTCTTCCTATTGGAATTGTAGAAACTTGTATTTAAGAAGGGGGAAGTTATGGCAAAACTGAATATACTTCACTGAAAAACTAATTAGCTTCTAAACGATCCATTTGTGTGAGACAAAATTGCCTAAAGTCAGTAACTTGACATTCTTTGTTTTTTTTTAAAAAAAACCTACCTTTGAGTTTACCTGTTAATTTTTCCAGGTTTGCCTGTATCAGCATGCGTATTTATGTATTTTTGTTTCTTAGGGTTGGTCTGAAAGTCACCTAGATATATCTGACTGTTCTTCCAGTTATCAAGATGTATCATGCTACGGTACTTTACCCAGGGAGTCACCTCGCAAGAGCAAAGATGGCAGTGGTGAGACTTTAAAGTATATACGTAATGACAGGGTCTATGGGTTTTTAATTGCTGCATTAGACTAAAAATGAAATTTGCAGTGCTCTTTTCCTGCTAAATGCATTATCCAGCTTCTTGCTTTAGCAGCTAAGCGTAATCTGGAAGCAGAGGGGAAAGGGAGAAATGCATGAAGACATCCAGGAAAGGATGGGGTGTACAAAGAACTAACAGGAGGGCAGAAGAACAAGCTAAATGTGAATCAAAACAGTAGAAGGAAAAAAATATATCAAAAAACCAAACAAACTGACAAAAAGGACCTGCTGTTATGAATTTGAAAATGAAAATGCTTTTGTTAAAGTGGGAAGGATCCTTTTACAGGTTCTTTACATGATTTGGATATTTGCTCTGCTGTGTGTGTCACGGGTGCCTTATTTTCTTCAGGTCAAATTGTAACACGCTGTTCTTGCTGAGGCAGTACAGGTAGAGATACCGCTGCAATTAAGTGGGACTGAGAGTTCATGCATTGCTTCCTTGGCCCTAATCTCCTCTTTGATCACCCTGGTGGTGCAGGATTGCTGGTTTGGCTCCAGGGCAGAGCTGCAGTGCTGTGGGCAGGGGTCAGGGGAGGCACAGGAAGCAGAGAGCTCTCAGTTCCCGTTTCAAGGACACTTCCCACTGTTTTTAGGACTGAGAAAAGGAGAAGTATTTGAGCCACAGAATGGAGGGGTTAGATATTGCTATTCTCTGCTTTTCCTCTGTTTCCAGGCTTCTCAGAGGGGCATAATCTCCCCTCATTGAGTTCTGCATTATCTCATGCTTGACCAGTGGTTAAATACTAAAATATTGACATTTTTCTGTAGCCAGCAGCTTGCCAAATGCACGGCTTAACCTTCAGTTATTTTCAGTTATGCTCTTGCAGTCAAGGTATGAAGAACTGAAATGCAGTATTTTTGCATTTTTACCCAGGTGCTGTAGCAGAGAATTCCCATGCTTTAATGGCCAGCCATTTTAAAGCATTTTCTCCTCAGCCACCAAAGTTTTTCAAGCCCTTAATGCCCGTGAAAGAGGAACATAAAAGGAAGACCCCACTTGAAAGCCGACCTCTCCTTAGTCAAGAGGTAATCTTTGAAAACCATCTGTTTTAAAGGAGATCAAGTGGTTTTGTGTACTTGGCAAATCATTTGCAGCATGCATCTGTTGCACTAGAATTTTGTAATTCTCTGGTAAAATTTATCAGGTTGTTCTTTATATGTGGTGGGATTTTAGTGTTTGTTTTTTACCTGAAACACTGAGGGTTTTTTTTTTTTCCACTTCATGGTAAGTATTCTCCTTTACAGGGTACTTCTATTTCAAACGAACAGTAACTT